TCTCTCTCTCTCTCTCTCTCTCTCTCTCTCTCTCTCTCTCTCTCTCTCTCTCTCTCTCTCTCTCCTATATTACAACCATGATTATCACTCTACTGACTTGTGTGTTACGTGTAGTCAGCAGCAGCTTGTCCTCGACATCGGATTACTAAATTTCGTGCGACCTTCTCTTTTGCTGTGATGAAATATTACGACGCCCTACTTCCATTTATACGAACTGCATCCTCGCTCAATTCCTTTCGCTCTCTCTTTCTGTTTCTTTTTGCTGCGAAAAATTACATTTTTCTCAAAGTCATCAAAGCTTAACTTTTTATACTATTACAATTTTTTCTTGAGACTAAAGCAAGACAATAACTTCATCGCTGTCATCTCACTTTTTAGTGCTATCTTTCCTTTTCTTGTTTTTGCGTATTTTGTATTATTTATAATATTTTTTTTTCTTTTTCTTTGTTGTACCAATAAAATTATTATTATTAAAACGATTTGCAACACCTTCTCATATCTTCTTTATGACATAAGTGAGTGTAATCTGTTTTGCAAGCGAGGATATCGCCAAGCTCGAGCCGAATCTATAACCGGCGAACGACTTTTCTCTTAGTCGGAAATCTAATATCACGCGCGCGTTATTAACGTCTGAATTCACGGAGAGTCATGTTATATAATAAAGAAATTGCTATTTGCAAATTTGAAGCAAGTAAGTAGCTTAAAAGTAGGTAGCTATAATGCTGAGGCATGTAATTCACGATGATAAACTTAACTCGGTATACTGGATGTGAAACGCGCCTTCATCATACACGTACATACGTACGACTTGGCTGCGAGGCAGACGCGAATTCGCCTCCCGAGACCAGGTTTAATTAAATCTTTTGCAAATTTGCATATACGCACTTCCGTCAGTGAGAATCCTTTAGAACCCTCGGCGTTACCGAGACCCTTGTAGAGATTCGTTTCCCTACCTGTGTTATGTAGATCCGCCGCCAGTCCTCCGAGATGATAATAATCTGAGCGAGAAGACGACTTCGAGGAAACAGGGAGGAACGGAGCAACATCCGCAAAAAATAAGGCGCTAAAAAGAAACAGAAAAATCGACGATAGAAATGCGAATGTCAGACAACACGAGGCAACGTGTTCTAAAAAAAAAAGGAAAATGTAATCCCAAATATACGCGCGAAGGATGTGACGTTCTAAATCGCGCCAAGTTTCAGGACAGAACGGATCGGGGAAGCGCACGGCGTGGGTGGTGATTGAGAAGAGAAGTCGCATGGATCATATTTTGAAATACACTTTTACTTCGACTCGGTCAAAAACTACGATAACAATAGGTCGGTAGATATGTATATCGGAAATCATTTTTCGGAAACGCAGGCTGTGCTCGTCGCCGGCTTACAAAAACGGATAAGCCTCGCCGGCGCGGCGCGTTGCTTCCCGCGAAAATCATTTCGCGAGTCGCTTCACGAGTTTTCGTTTCCTTCGCGGTAATTTCGATGTAAGGTCTTCGATGCCGGTACGACCACACGTTCGTTCATTCGTTCGTTCGTTCGTTCGTTCGTTCGTTGAATACTTGCGAGCTTTTCGTCGCTCCCCGCGGCGACATTTTCACGCGGCAACGGGAGACTTTTCCTCCTCGCGCGCGCGAATTGAATCCCATTCGATTTTATCGTCGGCTTGACCCGAACGTGACCGCACGTGACAGCCTTTCGCGAATCAGGCGATTTCCCGAGATAATCGAGGGTCAGCTGCGAATATCTCGCCAAAAGCGCGGAGCCGGATTTCTTCTGTCCGAAAGTTGTTGTTGTTGTTGCTGCTGTTGTTGTTTGGGGAAAACGCGAACGGGTCGAAGGGAAACTGAACGCGCAACGTGGAAGATATATCGCGTGTATGTACAGAGAAAAGAAGCTGATCGTCCACGTCAGCCTCGACGGTATTGCACGATCCCGCAGCACTCGTTCGCAATTATACTATGAAAACGTAATCGATGAAATAAATTAGCACGTCGCGCCGTTTGAAACGGCAGCGAGTAATGATTCGATGAAACGACAATGATCTAGCTATGTACACGTATATACATCCCGTCAGTGTCGTTATTATCGTCGTCGTCGTCGTCATCGTCGTTGTCGTCGTCGTCGTCACCGTCGTAATCACTTTCACACCCGCACTCGCTCTTTTCTTCCTTTCTCTCTCTTTCTCTCTCACATGTACGCACACGGAACCCGTTCTCACTTAATTACAACTCCTCCCCGCCCATTCACTCATCTAAGGATTCGTTGGCGCGAGACACAACCGGTGAAAGAAGAATTGCAATCCCTCCCGGAGCTGGTCCGGAAGAGCGTATCTCTCGGCGAACCGCGGGTTCTTTATCCGGATCGAGCGCGGAGTTATTAATGCCCACTAATATAGTGCTAGTTTGTCCTCAAAGAATCGACATAGTCCACGACGGTCTTCGGCGGTTCTCGCGAGGAGAACCACGGTAACACAATGACCGAATTGTCGGCGAGTTCGGCTCGCGACGACCGATACTCTGAAGAGAGACCGTTTAAAGCGCGACCCTCCGGTCGCGTTCTTCTTCGTGGAAGACCGACGGAGAGGCGCCCGAACGAACAGTCCAACTGCTCGGTCGCCGACTCGTTCGACAAGTGAACGCGCGCTTCCGCTTCTCAGTACGGTCTCCAGACGTTGTTGTCCGGTCTGACTTCCTCTTGCCTCACGCTGCAGCTGTCCGCGACGGCTCTCTGTTCCGCGCTCTCCGAATTCTGGAACTGATTGCCGTACAGCTGCGAGTAGAGGATGCTGGGCAGCACGCCGGGCGTCGGGAAGTAGTTGCCGTAATTCTGCCCGAATCCCTGTTCTTCGTGCACCGGGCTCTCGGTCGTGCTGGAGTCAGTAGACAACGATCGGGGCGACACGTAGTCCTGGTACCTGGACTGGGTGGAGCCGCCAGACATGAGGCTGCTCAGCGGGTCCAACGGATCCGACTGGCCTGGTGTCGTGGTGTCTGGCACAACTGTGACATTCGGTGTAAGAGAAGCTACGTTCAGCTCGCTGGCGACTAGCTAGTCGAATGATGTGTCTTCACTCACGACAACCGTGATTCTATCATCGATCCTGCCGACCTGTCAGGTCCCTAACCTAACCATGAGGAGGCTCGACATCCATATTCCGAATATCGTGCGCGGTTATGAAGATTGCGACTGATACGCGAAGAAATTAGAAGAGACCAGAGCAAGTTCGCCGAGTGATTCGTGTATCAGATTAGTGCAGAAGATTTGTCATTTTTCTATTGAATTCTCGCTGGGCACTCGGATATTAAAAGGAAAATAGAAAGTTCCCGTTAGATGTTTGAAATAATACTGAGTCGATATATTTGTTTAATTTATTTGTTGAAATTATTAATCCTTCAAAATTTCATTTTACTTGACAAATACAACAAACTTTTCGCAATAACCTAATATTTATTGTGAGAGGAACAGCAGAAAAAAGCAATGGAATAATGTTCTTTTTAAAATACGGAAAAAATATCCATGTTTTGAAAAGAATATTTTGCAATCGTGGAACGATAATAGAAAAATAATCGCAAAATATTTTATAACAAGAAAAGTACCAGTGTTTTAAAAGAAACATTTTGCAATTTTTTTTCCACTGTTTCACGATCGCAGCATGTTCCTTTAAGAACATGGTTATTTTTCTGTTTTACATGTAGAGAGAATATTATAATTTTCTTTTTCATATAAATTTTTTTCAATTTTACTATGTTTTTAGTATTACAGGGATAAAAACTGAAAAACAGTAAAATCTATCTTGCTAAGGAACATGATGTATATTCTACTAAAAACATAGCAAACTTTTCATAGCACATATGAAATAGAAATATGATCAATTACTGTGCAGAATGTCAATATATTCCTTGGTTACAAAACTCAATGGCAATTTTTACCACAGCATTCTCTCCGTGTAAAGAAGACACACACTTTGCAATTTCTTTTCCACTGTTCTTCTCGCGACAAATGCACAAACAAGACACATCTATCGACAAATCTACCGTGATCTCCCCTGACTTATTTATTTCCACGACGATCATAATTTAATGAACGTAAATCCCGATAAGAACACGATAAGAAACGTGATACTCCGCGATCACGTGGTGATTAGCGGCTTCCGCTTTCACAATACGAGACACAAAACGAGACGATTAAAGCGAGTCGAGAGCGATACCCCATGGTTGGTTCATCAGTCGGCGCCACAGCGAAACTCGACGATGACAATCGTGCAGCAGGCTGGACTTACGAGAGGAGACCGCGGAGAAGGCGTCCTGCTGCGGCGTGGAGCCCGTTCCGGTGCCGGATGTGACGGTCGAACCCGCCGTCGAGTCCGGTGCCGTCGGTGTGCTCATGGAGGCCGTGCCGGCGAAGGACGCCAACGTAGACGACGGCGGAGGTGGCGGAGGGGGTGGCGGCGGAGGTGGAAATGACGCCTGTGCGGCGCACGACGACAAGGGACCCGGAAGGTAGCCGGCGTAGCCGGCCGTGCTGCCGTACCCCCAAGAATTGCTCGCTGTCAGGCCGAACTGGGACATATCTAAAGAGATCTTCCGTTTGCACGTCTTCTTGCCGCGCGGGGAAACGCGAGGAACACGAGGAACACGAGGTGGAATCGACGTGCGCGAGAGGGTGGCTGGATAGACGGTGGTTGAAGCGAGTGCGAACGGAGAAAGCGTCAGCGGTGTCGGCATGATAGAAAATCGCTCACAGAAAAGCAATCGACGAACGAAAGGACAATTAGCAGAGAGAGAGAGAAAGAGAGAGAGAGAGAGAGAGAGAGAGAGAGAGAGAGAGAAAGAGAAAGAGCAACTCCTACCGCATATAAATAACACAAAGCACGCTAATGTAAAAACATCGATAACATCCACATCGACGGCAACGGCAGCTGCATCGCGTCGTGTTGCATCGGCGAAAAAGATAAATAATACTTCCCTCGCGATCGGATGAAACAACGGGGAGGAAGGACGCGAGAAGGCGAGACGGGGAGAAATTTCTGCCGGATTATATGCCAATTCGAATCACTTGGCGAGATGCATCGGCGGCGGTGGCGGCGGTGGCGACGGCGGCGGCGATGGCGCGGTCCAGCGCACCCCTTGGCGGATGTATTTTTGCGGGGTATAGGCAGCATCCCCGATAGATTTTCCAATGAGTCACGGGGGTTGAATGTAGAAAGGACGAGCTCGGTCCGCGCGAGAGAGACGCGGGCGGATACCGAGCGGTGGGGAGACGGACGGAGGGGTACATCGAGATCAAAGGGTTGGTCATCCCCCCGCGTAGCTGGGGCCAACTCAAATAACCAAGCTCGCCTCGGCGAGCGCCACCGGACCGTCGTCACGAGAGCTAACCCTAAATACTGCTACCCGCCGAGCGCTTTCACGTCCTTCGGCACCATCGGATTCCTTGCGGTCCGAAGAGAAGCCTCCCTTTTTATGGAAAATCACCGAAAGTTGCGCGAGTCCGTCCCAAGTATTCCAGGATCGTTGCGGGATTCGAATACCGGATTGAATCCTCGTGAATTTATTTCGTCTTTCTCTCTCTCTTTCTCTCTCTCTCTCTCTGCTCCTTGTCTCCCGCTCTCTCTTTCTCTTTCTTCCTCTCCGTCTCGTATGAGAGCCACGTAATTGCTTCCGGCGAATAATCTTTGAGTGAACGTCTTATTTCGCTCGGCGTAGTCGCAATTATGTATCAAAATATGAGAAACAAGGGAAAATAATTAATTGCGATACATACTGCAGGGCGGCGAGTGTGGTCCGAGCTTTCACGGTTTTATTAAAGAGGAGAAGTAACCGCGCGCGGCACGGAGTGTCTCTCGAAATCGAAACCGCCCGTCAGGCGTATAGTATGGGAATAATACGGTCGCATACGCGTATTATCGGGCGACCGGATGCTCGATGAGGGAAAAAAGTTAATAAAGGAAATATTCGGCGTGCTTCGTATTTTATCGGGAAATTTAGCAGCGGAGCAGTCAGCCCTCACGTCTGAGGTAACTCATTAAAACGGCTGATCTCGAATTATTGTTTAAGCTTTTTTTTTCCTCGTCCCTTCTTGCGCACGCCGGCAAAACCGTTTATCGATACACGCTCGAGAAAAGTATTGAAAATTTTATCGTGCAAGTATCGTTCGCGCACACGAATCGTCGCACACGGTATCAGGCTTTGATCGCGCCGATCAGCAGTACAGTATTAATCAACGATCGAAGGTTTTCTGTTTTTTTTTCTCTCTCCTTTCTTTCTTCCTTTTTTTTAATAAAACTCGGCGAGAGCAACATTTTCTCGAAATTACGCTGACAACACACTTTGCGCGCAAACTCGCGAATCCACGTTATGAACGCGGAGGGAGGGTGAAGCTGCGCCCCCAAAACAGGGAGCCAACCGACTGGGACGCGCTTCCGTGGCAACCCCTTTAATATAATATTTAATCTAGCTTTGAACAGGCTTGCGGTTTCCGCCTCTGAAGCCGAGAAGCTAGCTACCGAGCCTACCCAAAAGCTGTGCTTCTGTACTCAGACTGGTAGCGTCTGGTTGGAAATATTCCCGAACTCGGCGGAAGCCATCCACTCGATGACAAAAATTATCTAAATTTCATAACCACCGGCGAGGGGCAGCGCGAACGAAGCAACGCCGCAATATGAAGAAAACATCTCTTGTGCGCGTATCAATTTCTCACTTTCCACCTTTCTACACTGAGAGAAAAATGTTTGGTATTTGTAACTATAATCATAGAGAAATAATTATAAATTATGGTCAAGAGAATCACTTTTTATTAAATTCTACTTTAATATTAGTAGTAATAATCTTATATGTTACTACCACCATTTTCGTGTTAAAGCAACTAAAAAACATGGTTGGAACCAAAAATAACTATAATTTTAGTTATATACAGGGTGTCCCGAACCTCCATGATGACCCTTGGTGAGAACGTAGAACGGATTGAGGTGAACAAGAAAGTCTTGTTCCGTTTTGCGATATTCGCAAAAATAGTCGAGATATTAATTAAAAAAGATTGGTGAATGATCACGCGCGATATGGTAGATAAGCTGCAGTGGAGCCGTTTGCCGTTGTATACTTATATATTAAGTCAAACTGAACAAAAAAGTCCTCTACCATTTTGCGAATGACCACATAGATTTTTGAATATTAAAGAAAATTGTTACATGTATGATTGTATACCATAATGCATAAATTTTCTTTAATTAATACCTAAAAATCTATATGGTAATTTACAAAATGATAAAGGACTTTTTTGTTCAGTTTGACTTAATATATAAGTATACAACGGCAGACGGCTCCACTGCAGCTTATCTACCATATCGCGCGTGATCATTCACCAATCTTTTTTAATTAATATCTCGACTATTATTGCGAATATCGCAAAACGGCACAGAACTTTCTTGCTCACCTCAATCCGTTCTACGTTCTCACCAAGGATCATCATGAAGGTTCGGAACACCTTGTATATAGATCGGCCATTTCTTCTCTCAGTGTAGATATTTTAAATTCTCAAGATATACGCAAGATATATCGAAAGATACAATACACTTCTTTTCAACATGCTATACTCAGATAAAAAAGAACGATGATGTCAACTGCATAGATGATAACTGTACGTAAAAGTTCTTGCAACTAACAACAACAACGTAAAAAAGCTGAATGATTACTAAAATTATATACCATCATGTCTTTTTCTTCGAGTGTACGAAATAGACTAAAATAGATCCGAATGGTGAGACAATTTCTCCTGAAGTTCGTTGCGTATCGAAAAGTGTCGCAAGCCTTTCGCCGCCGCGATTGCTACTACAAATCCATCGAATGACCGGCTGCGGAAAGGAAAGCACACATACACACAGAGCAAGCGCTGCTTGGCGAGGTTTGTGCTCAAAGCTGAGTCGTGCGAGCGCAATCTGCGAGGATCACGATCATGCGGGGACTGCCTGGGGCGATTACTTACTCTGACAATTGCCAGGCATCGCGTGTCTAAAGGAAGACAACGGATCCCTTGGCTGCAGCGGATTCGGTAACGGTTGCAACGGATTCGGCAGAGGTTGCAGCGGATCCACCAGAGGAGAGGCGAAGAACGGGCCGCCCCGTTGCGAGGCGAACGCGAAGGCGTGAAATTGTTGTTGCTGCCCTAAAAGAGACAGCACTGCGATCAACCGTGCGCCTGCCCACTGGACCTCCGGTGCGACATCAATCGTTCGTTTCATTTATCGTCATTCTCCTCCGATTACCGTGCGAAAGCGAACGCGCGCGGCCTCGACCAGCCGGCAGCGCGCATCGGGCACATTTTATTTACGCATAAATCACGAGTCAAATCCGCCCGAATCTCTCGTGGAGCGCTCGACACAACGCGCTGCGGATTTCTACACGATGTCGCGCGAACGACCGACAATACACAGTTGTTTCTCTTCTTTTTGCTCTCCTTTCTTTGTCCTCTCTCTCTCTCTATCCCCGACAATTGCCGCGTATAAGCCGCATCTTTTATCTATCGAAACGACAAACGGAACGATAGCGACACCGAACACCGTGGCCGTCCCTTCGGCAGTCGGAGGGGGACGAACGAGGGAGACACACGAGAGAGGCACCGATACATTTTATTTCCCTGCGACGGTGTCGCCAACCCAATTAAAGACGTCCCAACAGGCGGACGTCCTATCCGGCTGTCCCCTGGCTAGAGGTCGCCGCACGGACAGTCGTGCGCGCTGCCGCTACTACGTGCAGGTTCGTTCCCTTCCCCTAAAGGCAACGATCCGAACGTGGAAGGCACCGGAGGCCAGAGAGACCGACGGAGGGTCGACGCAGGGCGGGAAGGGAGAAGCGGTGGACTCTCCCACCGTCCTGATAATCCAATCGAAGCCCTAATTCTAACTCGGCAACCCGAAATTCCCGCCGGTTTGCTGAATAGGGTACGCTCGATCCGGGGACACAGTGGGGGCGCGACGGCGGAATACCGACGGGTACCGAGACTAACGAGATCCTGTTAAACGACCGGCGATTCGAGCACGCCGCAGAACCCGGGAGGAGCTCGGCAGAAAATTCTATGGGTCGTACAGGTTCCTTAGGTGAGACGCCTTTTATTTCGCGCGCGCACGCTGAGCGAGAAAGGATGAATCACATTTCGCCGCGGGCTGAAGTCGATTCTCGGGGCCCTCGGTGCCTCGAGCCAGCGCGACAAGGCGAGAGAGGGGAGTCAAGGATGAAGGGTGGGCGAGAAATGGAAGCACGCCACGCGACCGGAACGCGCGATCGGCGGGTTCGAAATTCGAGGATTTGTTTCGAGACACAGTAGTTTCCTAGCGGCGGCCTGATAGATTTAATAAATTATGCCGCTCGACCCACGAATTTATCACGTCACCCTAACCCTTTGAACCCGTTCTTCGCAGTATTTCATTAGGCGGCGAGCGCTGGTGCGACCCTTCGAATGGATGCGCGTGGACGATTGTTGTCTCGTCCGAATTCGCTCAGGATGCCGAGACTTTCCTTCCCCCTCCGTTCGCGCGAAGCCGAGTGTGACCGGCTCCGTTGGCCGGTTTTTCGCGAGGCTAATCTGGGGCTCTACTCTGGACGAGCATCGAGAGCTAATGTCTTTCTAATTCTTTAGAATAAACGAGATAATCTTACACGTGACGTTCATGCAAGAAAAACGGAACTTGTAATTTAAAAAAACATACTTAACGTTCGCTACTCGACTAGAAATTTATCCTATAATTCTGATGAAGTTTACTCTAATAATTTGTATAAAAAATAGAACTTATAATTAAAAGGTAATTAAGTAAAATTTTTAATAATATGTGTATAACTGTGCATATAGATACTTGACATGATTAAAATACTTAACATTCGCTATTCGGTTAGGAATTTATCCCATAGTCCTAACAGCTTCACCCCAATCAGTTATCTGACCTATACAAGGTGATGTTATCATTGGGTCTTCATAAGTCATGTAACGCAGTGTGGCAATCGAAACTTTGTTAGTGACAAGGATTATCAATAATTAAGACGCGATAACATCACTTTATAGAGACCGTAAGTAACTGACCAGGCTCAACATGATCGGGACAATGGCATAAGTCGAGTATGCACCCAGAATAGGGCCCTTGACATCGTGTCCCCAACGAGCGCACGTTTTCGCAAGATGTTTCGGCGTGAAGCGACACACCTCGATCCGATTACCGTCCACGCTCGTTCTGACTACTCCGACGAACGGTCGCCGACATCAACGTTTCCTGATTTATTCTTTCGCGGGGTATGAGGCGCGGTTGGCGATTGGACGAAGTCGTAAGTCCCCGGCAAGTCGCGGCTATCGATTTCATTGGACACCCTCTTTACGCGCCGTGACTGCCAGGGAATTTCTCGAGAGTTAGCAGCTGGCAACGACAGATCCTCATTTCGTTCCGTCGCCAACCCCGTTCTCTCCCTCCTCCCGCTCTCCTTGTCCCCCCTACACCCACACGCCCGCGTTGCTACTCAACCCGCGTCCTGAAATCGGCTCCTCTCGACGCGCGCTGGATGGCGGTGCGGCACCCATTTTCGATCTTTCCGGGGATGTCTAGCCGATCTCGCCGAGGAACGCGTTTCGTTTGTCGAAGATGTTCGCAGCGCGAACCTCCCGGGACCCGAACGGGCGAGGAGAGTCTTCGCGAGTAAAGCATCCCGGAACCCAGGCTAAACTTCCCTCAATCAATTTCCTTGGCCCCGCAGCCTTTCCGCGGCAGCGGCAGCGGCGGCAACGGCGGCCACCTTCGGCTACCAGAGACGAGGGTAGAATGTGTAATGAATTGCTTGTTTAATTAATTACAACCCTCCGGAGGTATTCGACCGGCGTTACCTTACGTAAGATTCATTCGTTCGTTCTCGCGTCGATCGCCGGATGCAAGAACGCCCGATTTGTAGGAGAAACCGGACACACGCTCGTTCGTTTGTCCGCGCGTCAAAGGGTCGGCTAGACATTCCCGACGCGTGAGACATCGCGAAACTGCTAATTAAAATGCGTCACTGAAGGAAAATGTGCAGTCGGCTGTTTCCCCCATTGCTTTTAAAAATTATTTAGACTCGGGAGAGTACAGAAGTAAACGCGCGTCACGCGTGAAAACGTGAATAGAGGACTCTCAAAGTCCGTGTTAGAGGCGAGATGAAGACACGTGGGGGGCCATGAGCCCCAAAAGAAGCGCACAAAGACCACCCAAGAGGCTCTTTCATCTCACGCCGCCATCCTTGAAATCATCGCACCATTGCTCAGATCTAGCAAACAGTTTGTTTTCGTAGAAGATTCAAAGCGCCGACTTGACGAATGCTTACTTGTTACGTGCTCGCGTTATCCTAACGATCCCTAAAATTTTTATATCTGTTTCCTTTTCTTTCTTTCGCTCGAAAAAGCCCGACATGACGTGCTTTTAAACTGGAACGAATTCAATCGTTTCGGCTAAAATCGACAACTGAAAGGAGACACGCGACGATATTCATCAATAGTTCGTAATGAAACGCAGAAAAAATATCACATATTGCTCGGAAGTTAGCGCGATTAATTAGTAACATTAATATCGTGAGAGGAATTTCTCCTCCGAAACGTCACGCAGTGTTTTGCTTGGATGCGCGTCTCCGAGCGGTACACCGAAATTTCGCGTTTTCATATTTTGGATTTATGACGGAAGTTTCGTGGGTGGTCCGCAGATGCGGCCAAGCCGGCGGATGTGGTCGCAATTTCCCAAGGTACCAAACTTATGCCGTGCTACCCAGAGACCGCCTCGATATATTAAAGCTATCGGATATTTTTGGTGCGCCTTCAGGGACGACATGAGATCTCTATCACGCGTATTAGCGTCCTAAGACCTAATGTCGAAGCAAGATTCGTTCGTGCAACCCGATACACAGTTCTTGAATAAGATCTTCTATTGAATTTACACAACACGCCATCGACTTTTCGATAAAAAAAACCTGCAGGAACTTTTCCAACATTTTCCATTGTGAAGTTGAGATCAACTCCCGAGTGTTTCTCCGTCAACTTGAGTCGAAATTTTGATCCTACTTCCGACATCAGTATTCCATTTAACGTCTACTTTGATACTATGAGACCTAACCTCTTTCGATTCTATTTAACCTACTAATTTCATCGAGAAATTCTCTGTAGAATCTACTAGTGCACTGAGAGAAAATTTATATTAAAATCAACAAATATTTCCTTGATGGGTGCCATTAACATATTTATTTATAAAACTACATTCTTTTTATTTAACCAAATATTGTTTATTTAAGTCAAGTAAACAATATTTGATTTAAAGAGAATGTAGATTTAAGTAAATATGTTAATGGCACCCATCAAAGAAATATTTGTTGATTTTAATATAATTTTTCTCTCAGTTTAACATTTTGTGCTCTTTCTGTAATTTTGTTTCCATACTTCTCGCGTGTCAAACTGCATAGTTGAGCACATAAATTCACGTGCTTAGATTTAGGTTTAAATTTAAGTTGATATATTTTTGTATAACCTATATTCTTGTTTTTTATTTCGATTCTACTTCTTAGATTTCAGTTCTTCCTTAGTTAATCAGTTTAGTTTTTATATATTATAAGATATTAGTCTTATAATCTTTTGATTGCATTTCGTACACAATAACAAAACATACCGACGTTTTATAAAATAAACATTATTATTATTATTTAGAGGCGCTAAGTAGAACTTTGGTTTTCACACATTCAATACAATACATTTGTATTAAACACATCTTCCGAATATACGGTAAATGTTGGAAAGTTCAGATTGAAAGTAGGGCTAAAATTTCGACTCGGGAAATTTCGACTCCAACTTTGAACTTGCGAAACTGAAGAAAATCGCACGTCCGTCGCGCGACGCCGCAAATTGGTACGCTCGGGACTAAATTTTCGAGGGCGTACAATACGTTTCACGGTGGGTTACGTAACAACCGGGGGGGATGAAAGTAAGAGAGAGAGAGAGAGAGAGAGAGAGAGAGAGAGAGAGAGAGAGAGAGAGAGAGAGAGAGATAGACAGAGAGACGCTTTGTCCCCTCGCACCTCGTGAAAGACAACGTCGACGACCCCGACTGCGACCTACCGAAATAGCGGGGAGAATCCCGGTAATTGTATGTCTCGGCGGCAGTAGCTCGCGGAGGAGTTCTCGCGGCCGGATATCCGCGAAGTTTGTAGGCGTCGCCTGCGTTTTGGCTAAAGCGCCGCGATACACCTCTCCGCGGGCAACGCCCGCAGCTCTTTGTCAATGTTATGGCGCCCGGTGCCCCCGCGGTTATAAATAATGGCAATTGCGCGAAACTTAGCCTCGGAGGTAACGGCCGACCAGCGCGAAGCCGCACGCTGGGGCCATTTCGAACTTGCGGCTTTTACTGCCTCCGGTGCCATGCCGCTCGTTCGTTAGGCATTACGATCGTTTCGGGAGATTCCCGTTCGGTGGCCCGTTCCGGTGAGCGCGAGAGCGCGTGTGTGCTGCTACCCACGCCAAATTTCCGAAATGTGAAACGCGGCAGTTACTGTCGGAAGTCTCGAGGAACCGCGCGGGGGATGCGCGCAACCGTTCGAACGAAACCGCGAAGCCATCGAACGCGGCTGATCCCCGATCGTTCAGTGCCGCTTCGGAGCAGCAGCTATTACTTTCGACTCAGCTATTACTTATCGACTAATAATAATAATAATAATAAGGTATAATAAATATATATGAGAGTAGCAATGCTTACAGTGATACTCACTGGTCTTGGATCGCGGTTCGCGCGGCCCATCCACCGTCACCTTGATGGCCTTGGTGTAGGTGGCGACTTGAGGCGGCGTTGTCGACACCGTTATCGTTAAGGTGAAGCTCTTGCCTGCAACAAACGAGACGACTTGCGTGTTACGTTGCTTCCTGCGATACCTTAGCCGCTTCTATCGTCGTTTTATTTCTATTTACAACGTTCGCGCTATCAACACATCTATCGACCACGTCAGTTGTTTTTATCGTTTCAAGGTCCACGTAGTCGCACACTATCGGCGGGATGACGCCGGGGAATTAGATTTCCAAAAACGAGGAGGACAATATACGTCGGGGGGGGGGGGGGGGGGGGGTTTT